AAGAAAATTGAGATTGACCCAATTATTAATGACTCCTTGGCTTTAAACAGAGTCATAACGTTACAAGAAACTAAGAAAACGAAGGAAATACCTAATGTTCTTATTACAAAGTATGATCCAAGAATCAAAGGTCTGAAATCCAAATTATTAAAATACTGGTCATTAATCTTGAAAGATGAAACTTGTAAACAAATTTTTCAAACAAAACCAATGATTGCATATGCTAAGCATAAAAGTATTGGTGATTTGCTAACAAATGCTATTTTGCCACAATAAAAATTACGACCGGATCCCTGATGAAGGTGGGGCCGTGATTTAGATTTTCAATACATCAATACGATATAAAACCACCGAAACACACTGCTGAGAAAACATTAATGTCAATAAGCAATAACTTATTCAAAACGATGTCAAAATGAAAGAGAAATAAGAAAAATCACAGCACTGTGTCGGGTCCTATAAATTTAGAATTGCGTGGCTGATGGGTGTTGCCTATATGCACTCAGAAAAGCTCACTTGAGCTTTCAACACATGTGAGCTAAAAATTATTCAATGATTCAAATATATCAATGCTTCGAGAAAAAAAAAAGATTTCTATCATATAAACAACAGTCCCCCCCCCCCACGTAACATCAGAACCACTAACTTGGGGCCCACGGATTCAACAATATTGGAAAAAACACTCTTGCTAATCAAAACCATGCACTTATCTTGTTAGCTTCAAAACAAAGAAGAAAAGAGACAGATCTTGAAAAGAGCACTAAATAAACAGTAGAGCCCTGTCCTAACACCAGAACCCCCGACAAGTGGTCATAAACCATAAATATAATTATTTGGAAAAAAAATATCATAGTACGATAATACTATCCATTTGGTCTGCTTACGCGATACATACAGACAGAGAAAGACATCATTGCAATTTCATCATACTTTTTAATGCAATGTTGCAACCACTTTTGAACTAAAGACCACTACTGAAATAATTATTTCAATAGTGGTTGAATGTGCATTTCAATAACGATCATATGTTTCAACCACTATTGAAATACGACCATTATTGAAATACTTATTTCAATAGAGGGTTAGAGTGCATTTCAATAACAAACATAAGTTGCAACCACTATTGAAATACGACCTTTATTGAAATACATGTACTTATTTCAATAATGGTTGAGTGACCTTCAATACTAAACTTAGGTTGCAACAACTATTCAAATAATGTTCAGATTTGTAATGAAAATTTCAATGGTTATTTAAATATAGATCTAAAAAATAATTGAAATATTGATTTCAATAGTGCGTTAAACAATGATTCTACAAGATATTAAAAAGATTATTTTCATAGTTGCTGATGATTTCAATACCAAACAACATTGCGAGTTTTATTGAAGTATCCCAACTTTTAAAACAAATGACTTATTTATTGAGTTTAAGGTATGATAACTAAAGTTGTTTAATATTTTCCTTTTTTGTAAAAATTCTTTCAATAAATAATACAAGGACACTTTTTATTAAGTTGACCTACCTATAATTCAGACATATATGCAAATGTTATAAGCAAGCTCCCGCTGAATCTGGCCGAATCGGCGAAAACCAACGGACAATCAATTTAAAATATACAATTTAAAATAATTTTGTTGCACAAAGTTCTTTTTTTTGTCATTGATTTTGAAAGGAAAGGATAAAAAATTCTTAATGCAGAAATTAGAATTTCTAGACTAAATTGAAAAGACTGATAATTTGTGTACAAACTTTCTGATGAAAACATGTTTTTTTTAAACAAGAAGTGTATATAGAAGAGAACTTAATCGTCGCTCATATTCATGAGATTACATGTACGTACACTACAAATGGGTAGATAATCCAACGCTTCCTCAATACATTAAAAGCTAAATTTCTAGGGAAATTAGTATTAGGTTTATAACAATTGTAGGTGCTATTTCAATAGTGATTTAAAATGTGGAGGTGTTTTGAAACGTATTTTTAACTTCATCTGAAATAATCATTCACAAGTAGTTTTATTTTTCATAGTAAACTCAATAAATGAATTAAATATGTAGGAGAACATAATGAACCAACAATCGTTACATATTTTAGTAGTTAAGTTATTTCAATTAGTCTTGCAATATGGTTTTAGTGTTGGGTTCATTATCGGCAACTATCGAAATAATTATTTAAATCAGTTTTGAAATCATTATTTCAATCACTATTGAAAACTTTATTTCAATAGCGAACATTATTTCAATAGTGGTTAAAGCATATTTAATGTTTTGAAATGCAATCAGAACCTCTACTGAAATATTTTATTCAAAAATGAACATCATTTCAACAGTGGTTGCAACCTAGGTTTGGTATTGGTCTGTACTCTCAACCAATTTTGAAATAATTATTTAAAATACTTGTCGTATTCCAATAGTGGTTGCAATCTATGTTTGTTATTGAAATGCACTCTCAACCACTATTAAGGTTCGTAAACCTTCATATAAAATGTAGCTTTATAAAATAGAAACAATTGTAGTATAGCTTACGGGGCAAAATTGAACAAAAAGACACTTCAGCTAGGCATATTTATAAAGGAATAATAGAAATTTAAGTCATAAAGAGTTATCTCTCTTATCAGAGTATCGATGGACCTTAACATAATTATTTCTATACTGGTCGTTATTTCAGTAGTGGTTGCAACAATGTAATATGTTCCTTATAATACATCTGATTGTTTTCCAAGGGTGCAGTTGTACAAGTATGGGTTGGAAACTTATTTGATTAATATCGTTTAATGCTTATTTATCTTTTTTTAGCAATAAAATAATAAATTAAAAACAATACTTGCTGTCGAAATTATTTTTGTTTTCAAATTGTTATAATAATCATGATCTTTATTATTTAAAAAGATATTTACTCAGGCACTCCGTCATAATCCGCACCAATTCCAACGTAATCAACACCAATCAAATCCTTTATATATTCAATGTGATCTATAATGAAAGAAAAAGGAACTAACTGGCCAGCTATATATTATACTAATATGAAATTAAAAAAAAAAAGAAAGCATCTTTTCTGTAAAGGATATACATGTATATGGAAGGCAATGGGGAGGTATTTGAACAATTGCATGGTGTATAAAGCATAATGCAGAACACATGTTTTCCCTCTGTTTTTTAACTTATGGATATTTTTATAACTTACCAGCAATTTCAGATATACTACTGTTAGAGCCCGTACAATTTATAAAACCTCTGTAAAAGTTGATCATTACAAGGCCTTTGTTTTCTCTCTGTAAAATAAAGACAAACATTTAAATAAGAAATAAAAAATTTAAGTTCTCCGTAAAATAAACTAAGTTGATCAAGTGATCAAATCCAGTGAAATATACTTTCTCGGCTGATCAAGTGTTAGAATTGGGGTCGCAGTGTGGGTGGGTGGGTGAAATAAGGATATGGAAATAACGAACAGTATTCAATCTCAACGTCCATTAAGCAAATATACAAAACAAGAGCAGAGCAAACACGGACCTCCGAAACATCAGAGGTGGGATCAATGGAGGAGTGAGCATCCCCTACCGGTCACACCCGCCGTGTGCTCATTGTCATAATCAGGAAATAACTCCGTAGTCATATTCAGTGTATAAATAATGGACTAACAATTGGTATGAAAAACGTCACAGCATTTCATTCAATGATAAATTGTATTTGCTGACAAGGTCATTGTAAGAATTTACGAAATGATGACTTTAAACGAGACTGTTGATATTCTTGTTTCATCAACTTGCTTGTCAATAATTTACCTCGTTTAAGAAATTGTTCATACGTAGAGCATGCTCTTGCGTATCGAATCAACTGAGATATAAATACTCCGTATGCAGGTGATGAAGGTATATTGCTGCATAAGTAAGGGAAGTTGACGATAGAAAAGTTAAAGTCATCACGTTTATCATATAGCTTGGTTGTTAGATTACCATTTGTGTCTTTTTCAAGTAAAATATCCAAGTATGAAGCATATGTGTTGGACTCAAGCTTACCAGGATATATCGTGTCGACGTAGGAATGGAAATTATCATTATTAATTGACAATACGTCGTCGATATATCTAAATGTCGAGTTGAAGGCCACAGCAAGTGTTTTTTTCTTTTCACGCAAAAGATTTTGCATAAATTCTGCTTCATATGAATGTGAAAATAAGTCTGCTAATAACGGAGAAGTTACAGTGTAGGTTTGAACTATATATGAGGGGCACAGAATACATACTGTTAAGTTTAGGACTTCGTCATTCACATTCCTTGCATGATTACACAAAGCGTAAGCCGACGAATGGCTGAAAATCACGGGGGCACGTGATACTCTCATGGCGTCCTTCTGCGTTTGGACGGAAGTGTGTGACAAATCTATTATCATTCCTAGACGATTCATCTCTCTAACGACTCTCTGAAATAAAAAAAAACTTATTTTGACGACTGAAAGTTTTAAATGGAATTCAATTTATTATATCGTTTGTCTACAAAACTCTTAGATAACTAAACTCGGGACAAAGTTGGGGGATTAAGAAGGAGAATATTAAACTAGAGCCGAGCTCGTTGCAAAGCAACGAGTAGGTCTTCCGTCCTGTTTGACCGGAAGTAACTTTCATTTTAAAAAAAAAAGTAATGAAGTCCAAAAAAGGGTTAATCCTCCAAATCTATGTTAAATATAGCAAAATTAAGCCATTCTTTGGTACTTCCGGTTTGACCGGAAGTGACGACGACGGACGGAAAATTAATATTCAAGCTTTTAGTGAGACATGTTACCCAAAAACCTGTCAAAAACGGCAAAAATATGCATTTTCTGACTACTTCCGGTTCGACCGGAATTGACGTCGCCGGACGTATTTTGACGACCCCATTATATAAAGCTTGATATTTTAAACAACTTTGCTTCTTTGATGCATAACAAATTCTCAATACTTTTTGAGATATCTGGAAAAAACATTTGGCCCCTCTAGGTCCGTTAATTTAGGGGTCAGCTCTTTTTTCGACATATCATTTGAAAGATCTTTTAATTCTGCACAAATTATGTTCTATATATTTTAACAAAATATTTTTAGTTTAGAAGATAAAAAGAAAAATATGAGTAATTTTTGGTTCTTTTAAGCGTTCTAATTTTTGACCCCTATATAGCACCATTTTGAATACAGAAATCGAAAAACAAAAACCGATGTGCACAACTTCAATCCTTCTATTATCTAAAATCAGTAGAATTTCTGCTCCAGCTTTAGCCGTCTCTGAGCCTTTGTCTGGCAACGAAAGCCTATAAATTTTCCTTTAAAGGGAAATAACTCAAAACCGGAAGTGGCTTTTTGAAATTATAGACATTATTCTGATAGAGTTTATTAACGTCTATAACGTCTGAAAATTTGAGCAAAATCCGTTGAAAAATGAGCGAGATATGAGGCCTCAAAGTTGCGGTCTAGGAAGCAGAAGAAAAAAAAGAATAATCTTTACCAACAGAATCAGTAGGTCTTCCGTTGGAAACGGAAGACCTTAATGATTGCTTTTTTACGCCGAGTTGGCCATATTTCACCAAGGAAATTTAAATACTGTATGAACGGTTACGGAAATTTTTCGGGGGGGGGGGGGGGGAGGGATGTTAAGCGACCCCTCTCATGGACGTACTATTTTTCGAAGACCAGAGAAACGATTTTATGCATACCAAGGGGGCATTATTCCCTGGGGCACCATTTCGATCCGACGCACTTTAAGAGGGAAAAGAACAGAAAATATTGAAGAAGGAAGTTCTTTTAGTCTCAATTTATACATACTTTCAATGATATTAAATAAAGGATACTGATCAGGAAAAACCATGGAATACACATCGGTTTGCCATTCAAAATGTAATTTTCGAGATTGTTTCTCTCCTACGACAGAGA